GCTGCAATATGGGTCATTCTATAAATTTGGGGTCCACTTTTTTTCCCCTGTCCCAGTTTCATCTGACATCTATGATAATATAATTCCGGATGCACTCTCCTTAATGCAGTCATCCTCCAAGAGTGATTATGAATAGCAAACTACCCAAAAAATAAAATATCATCTGAAGTCATTCTCAGTGATACTTGAATGGCATAGTACAAAGTTCAGAGGTAGCGGAGACAGTAAAAATGTCCCACTTTGGACCCTTTATGTATACAATGACCCACATATACACGTACCGGTATGTACAATGTATATACATGTATATACATAACATGTTAACCAGTACAATTTTTTTTTGTTCTCTCTCTATCTGTGGTTCAATTCTACAATGAGTTATCTTGACAGCATATACCCACAGGTTAGTGACAGCAAGTGACCTATGAAAGATATTGGATGTATCGATCTCCCAATTTCCATTCAAATCGGAAAAAAGGTACTGCCAACTACTCCCACTCATTTGTTACCATGGCAACTGAAAGAAAGACCTATTGACGATACAAGCTCGCACAGGAAACATGGGTCAGTGGAGGTTCAATTTGCCAACAAAAGCAACACCAAATAACAAATAACAAACAACAAACAGTAACAAATTGCAATTTCAGACACAAGAGACTTATGTCATCCTCGATTCTAATCAACACCATTCTGCGACGTCTCCTAAATTTGTACCAAAGTGGAATAAAAATAACAAATCAGAAAGGCAAATCAAGAAATTGGACGGGAGAGGTGTGACTGTTGTTTCAACAAAGTGATCTACCAAGACATTCAGCTTAACCCTCCCGCTATTTAAGCAGTCACAGACAGCCAAAATTCACTTCCACTTCCCTTGCTATACTTTTAGCAAAGGCTAGTCACCAGCAGTCAGATCAAATGTCAAGCAAGCACTGTGACTAGTCAAACTCAGTCAACAGACAAAGCAGGCAAGTTGCGGTCATAGCTGTTTAATCACTCACCCGGAGTCAAGGCACAGCTGTATCAGGTTGCTTAAGCAGTCCAAGGCAGTCAATCCTGCTTTATGTAGGCTGGGAATTCTTAAGGGTTGAAAACAGTCACTTGATTGATCATGAATGCAAGGACAACTTTGTATCTCCAATGATAGCACCACTCGAAATCCAAAGAAGAATGGTCAAAATCGAGCCCGTTGAAGTTTCAGCTTGGCGGATATAATTTTCGAGAAAACAGCGAAAAATCATGCACAATTTTAATCACGAAACATGATTTCGTCCATAGCACTGTGTATTAAAAAAAAAATCAGTCAATTGACTGATCATTGGAAATCACCTACATTTGTTGATTTTCTATAAATCACAGCGAGCCAGATGGAATAATTTCACAGGGTGTTTAGTACCATTGCCATCTTTAATCCAAGTAAGCTGGTTGATAATAATTTGGTCACTTTTGGGATAAATGCAAATGATCCTACAGTATATGTCTTTAACCCTAATTATGCATTTTTGCTGGGATGAAACCTCAATCCTGCGAAATCCTCCTAAATTGCATACAGCCTCAATCCTCCAAAACGATCCGCTATTTCTTGAATGTGGTGCTTGGAGGGGTAACCACTGCCTCAGTTTTGCAAAATCCTCCAACAATCACTGTCCATATGTTGAGGCAGAGCCAGTGACATCCTGGAGCAGTGCGGAGGATTTCAAGTATAATTTACGCCTAGAAATGTATGCACAGCTGAGCATAAACAACACAAGGTCTGGGCTAAGACCTTGACACAGTGCATCCTCAATCCTTAAAAAATCCTCCATTTTGCAAAGAGAATTTCGGAGGATTTGGGAAGGTTAGGGTTAACCCTAACTCCCTGGCATGAGTTACTAAGAACCATACCCATCCTGGCAAATTCCAACACCATATGGGAAACTGCACACACATACATTTTTGTATTTCTGACTTTGATTCTGGAGGTGTGCCAACCCAATGTAAAAGACTGTCAGTTTAGGGGTACTGTACCCATCCTGACAGATTCCAACAAACATGCTGTGGGGGTTGGATGGGTTGAGTTCTGTTAGGGTTAATGCAACAGATGAATCCTCAACCATCTACCGGTACAAGACAACATTATACAAGACCGCATGAGAGGGGGGTAGTGGAGGGAGAAGTGCTAGCACCTCATACCCCAAATTCCAGACTGTTGTAGAGAGGTGCTTATCACGCAAAACGAGGGAGTTTCTCCCTTCACGGATTTGCCACGAAAAACCCCTCCAAGTTTTGCCTGTGATCTAATATAGAATTTCACAAATCTTGCAAAACAATTCCCAAAATGTAAGAATAAACCTATAGTGTACCTTAAAAATAAAACAGACAGAAAAAAAGGAAAAAAATATCCAAAAGTTTGATAATGTAATCTCAGGAATCCACAAACAAATTATTTCGAAAGTGGGATAATGGACAGCTTTTTCTGGAATGCAAAAGTAAATCTACAGTCTACGGAGCAGAAACAAAACAGGCAGAAAATATAAAACACCACAAAAATAGAAATGTAATCTCAGGAATTGAAACTCCCCCGCCCCAAAAGAAATGTTTCAAAAGTGGGTTAACAGAAAAAAACAATGTCTAAAAACTTTCAGTTGGCCATATCAACTTTGTTTGCATTCCTCAACCGGCAAAAACAATGTTGCTTTCCAGACAACACTTGCCCCCCAGTTTCCTGTCTTTATCTCCAACACAAAATGAAAACATGGCATTGTTTGGAAATACCAGCTAGCTGTAGAAATTCTGTTTGGAAACCTGGCAAGATATGGAATCACTGGAATTAAAAATAAACATGATTCTTTACTCTGAATAGGGGTTAAGACTGAAAACATTTCCGAACTTTGCATTGCATATTTGGCTTTACACAAAATGTTTAACTTTTTTTTCAGAGAAAGATAACATTGAACTGAAAACACAAACGAAAGTTTGGCAAAGACGAAAGGAAACTACCTTTCTATCAATGTATTTATCTAAATGTTGAAATGTGAAACTTGAAAACCACAAAAACAAACCTTGTAGTTGTGCTTATATTTCACTTATTTTAAAAACATTATTCTCTTAAAAATGACATTATTTTCATTAAAGTCGTAATACTCTTGAAATGTCATGCAAGTTGTTGAAAGAAACTGCAAATTTGCTATTATGTATACAAGTGCTAAACATTCAATTAAATTCAAAGACTTCGAGTACCCTGGTACTCAGCATTTTTTTTTTTATTCATGAAAGATGAACTTTCCTCACACTTTGTGGATCTATGGGCTCCGTGCGTTAACAAAGAGGGCGCCCTTTTACCAAGCAACGACGTCCCATGGGTGGGACACATACACCGCTGGTTGACGCGCGTACCGTTCCTTGCAGTCAGGCAAAATAGCGTCGTTGGTAACCCCAAACTGTACTTTCTTTGCCGTGAGGTGGTACTTGTGAACGGAGCGGATATATGGCTCTCTCACTGACCCACATGACCCTGCCTACATCTGTGTACCGGAAAGTCAGCGACGCCATTGTAGTAGGCAAAGATGTAGTAGGCAAGCCTTCAAAGCTGTGATGGATGGCAAAAACTGCACGAGACAACTGCAGTGCTGGGTCAGCACGATTGTAACAACCATACACTGCACAGGTAGTGGCCATTATGCAGTGTGTTACGAATTCATGGTTTATGGTTATTTTATGTGACAATAAGCCCTACTCTCTAGTTTATAATCAGGCATGAGAATGAACTTCAATGAAAAAAACAGGAAACTTGTGCAAAAACATGAAAAAAGGTGTGAAATCAGGCAAAAAAAACCCCAAAACAGGCCCAAAATAAATGAAAACGCAGACATTTGGGCAACAACAAAAAAACAGGAATTCCAGGCAGATTCTCATGCCAGTATAATGTGTGACGTGGTTGCTAACCAAGGCCTTACCTACCGCAATGGTAGCCTATCCAAATTGTACTTTGACGTCATACGATGGGACTCTATGAACTTACAGCAAAACATCTGTACTTAATACCGCATGAAATTATTCCATCTGGCTTGTTGTTATCTACAAGAAATCAAGACATGTAGGTGATTTCCAACAATCATTCAATTGACTGATTTTTTGAAATACATGGATGAAATCATGTTTCCAGATCAAAAAGTTGTGCATCGTTTTTCACTGTTTTCTCAAGAAGTGTAAGATCCACTGAGCTGAAATTCCAACAGGTTAGATTTCGAACATTCTTCTTTGAATTGTAAGTGGTTTTGTTACTGGAAAGGAATAAAAATGCATGAAAAATCAAAGAGGAAGCTTTTGCCCCTTTCAATTGCAAACCAAAATTGCTTTTCAGGGGAAAGGGCATGTTCTCCTTTAGTCTAGGCTTTTCAAAAGACAATGGATAAATAACACATCTGCTTTTCAAAGAATAACCCAGACCAAATACAACTTTATCTCTATTTCAGTTCAAGAAAAGCAATAAATGTACAAACAGCATGAGGATCAGCAAATCAACTGCGTACCTCAGTGATATCCCCAACAACAGAGGGGGCTATTCAGAATTTCAATCATGCCAGGAAAAGGTTGGGCCGGCTCTGCCCAACATTTTCTCACACAGGAGACTCATAGAATCCATGTTTTTAATAAAACCCCAAAACACATCAATCCTATGTGAATTGCCTGCATGGAATCAAACTCATACATCGTGGTTTGGCCTTCATTCTGGATGAATTTGAGCTTCCAATAGCAAAGTTTAAGTTGTGGAGCACATAGGGATGTTTGAACCCACTATCCAAAAATACAAAAAAAATTATCACGACCAAAGACTGATGCTTGATGGCCTCGCTATATAATCAGTCTCCGACATCAGTCATTGAAACAGGAGACGAGAAACTGACAAATCGGATTGCCTTTCCGGCCTGCGTACCGGTATGACAGTTACATGTGCAATGTTCCTACAGCCCTCATCCGTCGGGGGAAACACGAGACACGAACAGACAAAATTTGACAACATCTCAAATTACTAACGGATTCTGAGTTTTAATATTTGCTCCATCATGTAATGTTGCCTTGAAAGGGTTGTATGACATACTAATTACAAAATAAATACTACGGGAAGGAGCCTTATAGCTTCAGGGGATAAGGGAGTGGGTAGCAGCGTAAATCTACTCGACTGACTTCAAGCTACTCGTGTACAGACTAATGCAAGGTTATAATTACTGGAATTATTCTGCCCGGGACCGGGATGCTTCCACACTCGCATGCACTTAAAGTTGCATTCCCCGTGCAATTTTTCGAGTTTCATCCCGAAAAATTGATTCCCTTTTTTAAATCGCTGTTTTTCCAGCGATTCAGAAATGATTCACTTTTGCATGAGACTTTGACGGTAAAAAAAATCGGCCCGCGTTTAGTTGGTGAATAATCCTTACAATTTTGAGTTATTGGCTGCCAGACTATGATTCCTGTTTTCACGGGTAGGCTGGTTCCTGCCCAATGGTCAATAGCGATAATGTAGGGACTGGGGGCCAGTCTGCTTGCATAGCGGATTTATTTGTGCCCAAAACAAAAACCCTTGTTTCAGAGGTTTGCAGACGTCCAAAAAAAGGGGGGGGGGGAATGAGGTTTATTGATTGGAATAAAACATACAAGTTGAAAATTAATGGAATAAACCGAATTTTGTTGAAGAACACGGGACGCAACTTTAAGAGTATCCGAATGTTTAGTACAGTTTCGCTGCAATGTACACACATGCATTACCAAAGTATGCATTCCCAAAATACCCCATCAAATACATGTACCAATATTGTAACCGCGCAGGAATGAATATTCATAGAATTTGGTATTTACATGTACGATGTCACTACCCCAACAGATTGACATAAAACTACTGAAAATAAAATAAATTTAAAAAAATAATGACCAAAACTTGCAACAAACAAATTCCAAATACATGTATTTTGGAACAGTTCAGCAATGACACTTTTAAAGTTTATACCTGATTAAAAGTACTTCTGAAAGCCGAAGATTCTTACCTAGATTCTTGAACATCTTAAAACAAATTCCAATTTTTTCTTCAAATAAATATACCCACTGCAACACCCAAAGTGACATTGAAGCTGCAAATCGTTCGGAATCAACAATTTGGCGCCCCATAAAAAACATAGCTAGACTCATAATGTCTCAGCAGATCACAAATCTTAGATTTTTTTTGGGTATCATCGGGAGAATTTTTTTTTACAAGTTTCTTCTGATAATTAGCAACCCTCAGGCCTCAGGCCGGATGTCATTCTGACTCACCGCGACACAGTAAGAAAATACCCAGACAATTTTCTCAAGTAAATTACTCGCGTTATACAATCTGACAGCAATCTACGTTGCTTGTAACACAGGCCGAGCCAGTGCGGTGTGATGTTACTATGAACTACGTACATGTATACCCTTGCCAATGTGGCTGTCCATCATCCTATAATGTTGCAGATGAGTTCAGACGGTCGTTATTGGACATTCGATGACTTTTTTCTCTGAATGACCTCAAATTCGCTGCAGCTCTCCAAAACTTAATATCAATGCTTCATGAACCATCGTATGTATCATCACAAATGCGATATGTACATTCAGTTGATTCTATTTTACTTTAAAAAAAAGACTGATACCACAGTAACAGTTTGTAGATCAACTCTGTCCATACCAAAGCCTGAGTACCTTTCAGTTAAGCCCCATCACGTTTTCTCTAGGCACCCTGCTAAATGCAACAGAATGCAACACAGCTGAGATGAACGCCCTGCCAAATGCAACAAACTGCAACAGTGGATTCTGTTGCATTGTGCAGTGAACTCGGTATACACCAGCCTTAGCACTACGCAGTTACCCTGCTAAATGCAACAAACTGCAAAAGTGTGGATTCTGTTGTATCTGCCATGGTACTATGTGCAGTTACCCTGCTAAATGCAACAAGATGCAACAACTATTGTACCATTGTCACCTTCTGTTGCATTGAATAGGGTTAGGAAAAAAACTTTCAATCGCTAGAACTATTTCATTGCTTTTTGAGATTTCTGGGTGAATCTCTTTGGCAAGCAACATGTCAGATGTTAGATGCAAGTTCCAGTTGCAAAGTTCAGTTCGGGTTGAAGAACATTCCACGTTTCAGTTGAACGAAAATTTCCGAACGTCAAGCGAAGGAATCGTATCACATGAAAAGCAGGCAGCTGTCCATAAGAGACGTACATGTATGACGTAGAAAATGCAGGTCAATTCAGCTTTCCGAGCATTACATCCGCGTATTATCCCAATTATCAAACATTACCCTTCGCTCCAGGGACACAGGAGAAAATAACAAAGTACTTCACAGAGGTTGCTGACATGCATATTAACAGCAGAGCATTTCCAAAACAACAAAAAGTGGGAAATGCTCAAAATGCTTTGAAAGAACTCCAAAACCAAAATAAATAACAACATGAACAAATTGAAGGAATGGTCCACCTTGAATATTTGTGTCCCTCTCGAGACTCTCCCCCTCCACAACTCGAAGGTCCCACGCGCGGTCGTTCATTTCTCTGGGTTTTTAGGCCGAGTCGACTTCTTCAGATGATGGTAGTTTGGCAAGATTTTCATCAGGAAGTCAAGTTGGAGAGTCTGTGCCTGTATCCAGGTTTAAAAACAGAAAAAGCAGCTTAGCGCGCGTAATCATAGGGTGCTCAGCTTGATAACCATCGCCGGTGCGTGCATGTGGTGTGGCCAGTCTACGCATATCGATACGAGGTTAATGGACTTTGTTGGCCATGTTCTTTACGAGACTATGCATTTACGTAGCTTGACGCTTTCTACATTTTCAAGCAGTTAATGAAAGCTTAAAATGGCATGCAGGATAATTTCAATTTATCCCAAAAGTAACCCACCGGATTATTGTCAAAAATCGTACTTAGATTAAGGATCTTACTTGTAGCATACTAGACTCCCCATGAAATTATTCCATTGGGCTTGCTGTCATTTGAAATCAAGAAATGTAGATAATTCCCAACGATCAGTCAATTCGGGCGATTCACGATGCAGTGCGCCACCTAGAGTTTGCCACGGAGAGTTCATCTTTCCCAGTGCATTGTGGGAGATGGTCGACAAATTCGCAGCGCGGGACATTTGAAATTGTTACTTTTTCCAGTCAGTAGTTTCGTAAGCGTAGAAAAGGATCTGTTTGCCCTTTTCTTTTCTTCTAATCCATATGGTGTTTTTTGGTAAGGCGGCAGAACGCTATGCCCCAATCTATAACATATCAGCTCAAGTTGTCTACTGACACTCATTCAAATGGGCCTTGTTTTGTCGAATGTAAACTTGAAAAATGGACTCTCCATGGCAAACTCTTGGTGGCACACTGCATTGTGAATCGCCCGAATTGCCTGATTTTTGGAATGAAGAGTGCTGTTAAGAAAGTGGTGTTTTTTTATCACAAGGTTGTGCATGTTTTGTCTACTGCTTTCTCGAAAGTGTAATATAGCCCCTGAGATGAAACTTCAACGGGTCAGGTTTTAAACATTAATGAACAAAATGCATGAAGAGCGCATGATCCTATGCCTTTAATTGACTGCAAACACTAACTGCGTTCTTGCGTGCTTACCTGCGGCCTCTCGGCCTGCACCCTCCGCACGCACTTCTCACCGTAAATGACGGTGTTCTCTGGCAAGGTCTCACTGCTTGTGATCGGACAGAACGCGCCAATCACGCAGCCGTTGCTGAGCTCGATATCGCGTCCTACCACAGCTAATAAAGAAGAAAAAGACTGTGTAAATTAGGTTTTGGACACAAAACTTAAAACATTACCAACCCTCAAGAGAAGATGAGGTTATTCTGAACATGGCCTCAAAATAATCGTGAGGGATATAGAGTCTGAAAACAGCCAGTGTGTTGTTGGCCGAATGACATCTGACATAGGGGTTAATTTAATTTAAATAAGGGAGCAATTTTAAAACTAGTTAGGGGCCTGGCCATCGAAAGTGGCCCAAACCTAAGCTGTAGTTTATTATCGACGACCAGGCCCCTAGCTGGGTTTTGAACATAATGTTTATAACTGCTCCATCAAACTAAATACCTTAATTTCCCCTTTTTTTACCTCTATCTTCCAAATTCTTTTCCATAAATTTTGTGAACATAACTGTACAATTTACCACAAGCAAAATAAGGATGGGGGTTTTGCATTTAATTTTGTAAATGTTTAGCTAAACTATTAAGCATGGTTAAATGTTTAAACGTCTTCACAAAGGGTGACGCCTGCTCCAGTATGTTTGCACTCGGGTGCGTTAAAAAACCCAAAAAACACATAATTTATTCATAATCAGCACAATGAGCGTCAATCTTGCGCCATTGGCATGTCAAAACATATAACAATAAACTGTATACATTGTATATAACTGACACAATAGACAGCCGGCAGTCATTGAGAACCTATCACTTGACAGCCTGGAATGTGATCACGTACTGCGGTGCTTCTGATGCTTTGTTAAATGTGTCATTTTTGAATGTTTGCAAATGGTGTCCATTAGCTTTAAGTACTGTTCATTTTTAGGACGAGACAATTTGTTAATTATGCTTCTATTTACCTTTTGCTTCAATAACATTGTTGTCGCCGACACGAAGTGCTTCGCAGCCTATTCAGAAATTGTGTTAAGGACAGGGGCTACATTCAAGAAACACCAAGTCATCAAAAAGATGGCACTCCACTCAAAGTAAAGTCTGTCCCGAGCTAATATGGCCCATCAGGCCGGCGTTTATCTCCGGTTTCAGTGGCATGAAACGACTCAGAATATTTCTATTCCCCCTGGATGGGATGCCAGTCCATCGCAGGTTACTCCCCAGCTGATATCGGTACCCATTTATACTCCTGGGCGGAGAGAGGTAAGTGGGGGTGAAGCGGCTTGTCCAAGGACACAACGTATGGCCAGCAGCTGGATTCGAACCCCTGACCCACTGATCATGAGTCACGAACCCTAACTGCTACGCCACACTTCCCTACTCAAAAGAGTCGTAAAATGTATGCAGCATTCACAAACAGTTTCACAAAGTGCCCCAGTTGATTTAGTAATTCAAATCCAACTTTGATTGGACTTGTCTTTACTCAAGTAAAGTTGAGCACTATGTTTCTTGTCTTTTTTCCTCAGTCCAGAGTGGGGTAGTTTTTGGCACAAAAATGACGTTTCCAGAGACAATTATGCCATTTTTGAAAAAGTGTGAAATCCTGCAACTGCAGGACGACTTAGGCACCTCAATCTGACACAACAGCATGAGCATCATAAGATGCAAGGCCCCAAATTGTATCTGGTACTGATTCATGAAATACTGAACCAAGCTGATCTTTCGTCAGTGGATTTTTTTACAAAAGGATACAGCTACCAACTTCAAAGACATTGTTAGCCCCAATCACCATCTTCTGTCCGCCCTCCTTTGTTGGCGAGCCCTCAGTTTGCCTGTGCAGAAGGAAAACACAAATCACAAGTTCATCCCCCACATCTTATTAGCCAGTGACACCAAGAAAAAAATTTAGTTGAAAATGGTGTGCAGACCTTTCTTTTGCTACGTCACAGCCACAGTTTTGATACCAAATGATGGTTGGCCTAATATTGTTGATGTACCCTACCGTGGCACGGCCCCCAACGTGGCGCACTTTGATTTTTCGCCTGTAGCGCCTAGCTAGAGCAAAAGTTTTAACTGAAATTTCACAGAAAGTGAAATTTCATCAAGTTCTAAACACTCCCGTTCATAAATCGCGAGTTTATTTCTGATTTTATTTTCAAGTGCAAAGTGAACCTTTTGAAAATGCCCCGAAAAATAAGAAAATAAGTTTCTGACAAACATCTGGCTGGGTTTGTAAGTAGAGATAATAATGATTTATAAGAATTTATCAAGTTTACAGAAATTCTTAAATGTTAATTTGGAATTTTCCGAGATTTATTCAAGTGCGCCACGTTAGGGAACACTCCGCCAATTTGTGCCCAATTTCCGGACGCCACCGTTTTGAATTTCAGATAAAATTTATGAAACCGAAAGTGTTCACAGAGGTTAAATAGCAAGCATTAATAAGGTAAAAGTACCAGTATTTCTTTGCATGAATTTGAGGTTTGTCAACAAAGAAGTTTGGCAACACTACACGAGGAAAGTTGGGTAAGCTTCGAAGTGCGCCACATTAGGGAACACGACTATATAAGCAGCCACCATTTGAAAACAAAATTAGCAAGTTAAATTAACATTTTTATGCGCACCTCTGGGTAATGGTTGATGTTCATTCCAAGATTCAAGTTCTTGCTGAGAAGAAAATAAGCCATTTGCGAGTGACCTATGCCCTTCGGGATTTAAATCTGCAAAGCGTCTGGTACACTGACTTGCTCAGATTGCTTGGCACATTTTAACTGTGAATTCTCCAGACCAAAGACACTGTAGCTAAGCGCACATGATTCGGGGCAAGCTCTTGGATAGTTACGTAAGAGACACTCAGCATCAATACATTGTTCACAATGGGTGAGAATGGCACAAAAGACACCAGACCATTCCAGAGCTGGGGGTTGCTAGCCGAAGGCTTGCCCCGAATCATGTGATATAGTAACAGTCTCTTTGGTCGGGAGAATGCAAAGTTATAACGTGCAAAGCACTGTATTAAGTCAGCGTTCCAGATTTTATTCAAATTTCACTCTCAAATGGCTTATTTGCTAGGAATTATTGCATGGGTAAAAAAAAACTTTAGAAGGTATTGTACAAAACTAAAGGGTGATGGAGCTGATTCCCCCCCCCCCCCAAAAAAAGTACTATATTAAGGGTCCTTGCTTGACCTTAATTGTGTACATTTTAACAACTGGGATAACTTTACTGTTCCATTCCTCTTCTTCTCACAGACTGACCCTAAACTTGCACCGAACACACACCTGTTGATGATGACCACCTGTTCCTCAATCAGGTTACTCTCTCCAATCACAATGGGTCCTCCCTCGGCGATGATCCGTGCCTTAGGATGCACCACGGTCCTGGCACCTTGGAATTCAAACAAGAGTAAACAATTCAAAACTCTCTTATAATTCCCACGATTGTGTCATCATGATGTCACTTTAATTTTACATAAGTTTTAACCAAATCAGACCTGTACTTCTCTAGATGTGGGCCTTTGAGAAATCCACCTTGAATGTGATGTCATGTGACACATGAAGATGTCATCATGACATCATTGTTTGGTACACCTTTTTTAGTTGATGGTCTATGAATGTGTCAAGTTTGAAGTGGCTCAGAACCCAGATATACAAAAGAACCCAAAGCGGGTTGAAGTATAAAACTGTACAAACTGTATTAAAAAGAAAAAAATAGAGAGAAAAAAAAATCTGAAAGAAAACAAGAGCTGTTTTGGTAAGTCAGTATGCCAAAAACAACCGAAAAGATGTCTGTCTTTAGCCAATATGGCTCATCGAGTATCTTTCCAGTTTTCCTCGACTGACATGACTGAAAATATTTCTTTTCCCTCTGTATGGGATATAATTCCATTGCAGCTAATGATGACCCATTCACACCCCTGGACTAGGTGAGGCATATGGGGACTTAAGTACCTTGCCCAGAATCCCACGCTTACCAATCGTAATATCACCACGGAGTTCAGCCTCCACGCACACTACTGCACCAGCCCCTATTTTTACACTGTAAAAAAAACAAAATAAAAACATATTCATTATTGTTAACTTCAGACCCAAAACTTTTTAGATACCTGAATCAATCTCGTTTTTACAAACTGCATTGCGAACTATGATACGGAGTGGGGAACTAGCTTGAACTGGTTTCCGCTGATAGCTGCCCTAGTTCCCGACTCCGTATCATTGTTCGAAATGCACTTGTGTGTACAAACAAGAACAGTCTACTCATTATCATGATCATGCATCGCGCTCGGTAACGGAATCGTGCTGGGACCATTGAATGAACACTGGGCACGTACGTCCACATCGCGTTGTTCAAACACGAGTCGGAAATTTAACGTGTTCACGATTGATCGCGAGGGGAGCTCTCAGAATTGAACGGGAAGTTTCACTTTTCATCCGACTCATAAGCAAACTTTAGTACTTCGAGTATAATCATCGATCTCTCCTTGTACCTCAAGTGGCATATCTAGTAATTTGGAGGCCGTTTTGAGGTAAATCTGATGTTTTTGTTGGCCAATGTTGGTTTTTTTTGGCAGTGGATATTTTGCCGGAGACGGCAAACCTGTAGTAAACGTTAGCTTTCCGGATATGCACTGAACATGTGCAGTTACTGTTTTTTTCTTACTTAAGACATTTTCCGGTGACAAATTTTAGTCTGGCTCCATGTCAACATTATCGTTGTACCTTCATATTCCCAAGATGGGAATCAGACCATTTTACAATTTCGGACTTTATTTCCCCATAAAACAAAATCCTCTAGACTAGAGCCACAAATCTGAAAAAGAAAATGTAATACTTTGCAATAAAATGTTTGAGACACGTTAAAATAATAAAAGAAGAATATTGTTATTTTTTTGGGATGGGGAAAAAAAACTTTAAAAATGTCGCCAACGGGGATCGGGATCGAACCCGGGTCTTCCCGCTCATGAGATCCGTTGCTTATCCACCAGACCAAGGGTGCCACACAACTGTTGGTGGTAATTTAATTTATCTTATAAAATTGATTCAGCCCTATCTTAGAGAGCACAGCGCCCTCTGTTGATATGGATTGCCGCCGGTGTGACAGGTAATTCTGTCCCCCCTGGTAAATGTGTCCCCCCGGACACATTTACCGGCTCGTGACCCGGTAAATGTGTCCGGGGGACACTTTTACCTAGGTAAATTTGTCCCCCTCCAGGTAAAAATGTCCCCCTGCCCAACGGTGAAAGTGTCCCCCTGGAAAATGTGTCCCCATGCAGTATGTACTGAGAGCAGCAGCGTGTCGCACGCGCCAGTACATGCTGCAAGATTTGAGGCAGTGATTATAACGTGTACATATGCATCTCCCTCTACAATGGAAATTCGTCCAATAGGAAATGTCGTTACGCGCTATGATGGGAAAACAGACCAATCCAAGGAGACGTTGTATCATACTATCAATGAGACGAGGGCCATCACCATGCATCGCCGCTGTGTTGACCTATCGCGGTAGAATCGCGATAGACTTCACCGTACTCCGAATCGAAACATTGTGTTCACGTATAGACTAAATTAATTATTTTTTATATTCATGTAGGGCAGATTAAAAGTCCAAAATGTATACCTTGTAGAGTGAATTCATCAAAACAATAACCTTCCGGGTTTCAAAAGAGGGGGACAAAAAAACCTGGGGGACAGAATTACATGGAGGGGACAGAATCACCTGGAGGGGACAGAATTACCTGGAGGGGACAGAATTACCTGGAGGGGGACAGAATTAACGGGCCAGGGAGGACACTTTTACCTAGGTAATTCTGTCCCCCCAGACACTTTTACCGGGGGACAGAATTACCTTCCACACCGGCAAACCTTTTTTTAGTAAACGTTAGCTTGCCGGCATTACCTCCGGCAATATATCCACTATGTTCCGAATACGGTATTTGGAAGGGAAGTGTTGGGGGAGACTGGGATCCACAATCCCCCAAAACGACTGTATATGTAGCTGCAAAAACTTAAAGTAAATCACAGGGTAGTGCAAACTTAACACTGAATCATTCTCACCTTGGTCGCACGGTTCCTGCCATTTTCTCGAACCGACTAAATTTGCGTTTACGTTAGAGCACGCCCTCATGGGATACGGATTCAGTCAAATAGAGGGCGCCATAACCAAATAACAGTGATCAAGTACAAACGAAGATAGAGGGCGCCATAACAAAATCGCGGTGCAGCTGATCACTGTCGCTCAGTGTAACGAAAAACTTCCAACAAAAACAACATACTCGTTATATCTCGTGAAATATATATTGTATTAAATTGAAATTTCATCAGTTGATTGCTTGTGATGTTTTTTTAAAAAGACGGCTTATTAATATCAAGAAAAATTGTAAAGGAATCAAATTAATACATTCAAACGAATAACGTGTCTCAGTCAGCACAAAATCACATTTAAACCAACAAAAACAACACACTCGATGTGGGGCCAACAACTCAAGCAATATCTGTTGTATTAAATTGAAATTTCGTCCGTTGATTGATTGTGATGTTTTTAAAGACGGTTTTTCATTACATGTACCAAGAAGAGCTGTCAAGCAATAACATTAATACATCCAAAACAATAGCGTGCCTTTAGCGCGAAATCAATTGAGTTTTCGTTTCTTAATTTGCTTCTGGTGTATTGAAAACGTTTGTGAAATATCATGAAGAATGATTGAGCATAAGCTACCGAAATTGCTCAAATACCGAAATTGCTCAATCCGTTCAAAGAATATCACCATTTAAACACAATGACCCTAAAACCTGTCTCGTCCAAAAACAGCAATTTATTGTGTGTTTTGACTGTTTGGAACAAAGAAAATGACACAGAATGCTTGTTTCATGCCATTCAAACTACTTATGCTACACATCGTGAAAACTAATTGCACGAAATTTCAATTTAATCCATTTTGTATTTCTTGAGTAGTTCATCGGAAACGAGGTTGTTATTTTTCTTCAATTGTGCAGCATCCGTGTTGATGCGTTGCCGAGACCACTATTTATGTAGCTCGCCCTCTATTATAGTGGTCTCGATCTCCACCACCAAACCCGATTTCGGGCCAACAACTCAAGAAATACACGTTACATTAAAATGAATTTTCGTACACTCATTTGTCATGATGTTTGGCATCAAAAGATTTCATTTCAGAAAAAAACGTCAATTAATCAAGCTATTATGACCGTAACAATACAGGATTTTATTTGCAACAAATACAATCCTAATGTAAGTCAACAAGGATTTTTAACGTTTAAAACACTAGATTGTTACGATCATATTGTATTTATAGCTCCACGGTTTCTCATGCCATTCAAACTACTTATGCTACACATCGTGAAAACTAATTGCACGAAATATGAATTTAATCCATGTTGTATTTCTTGAGTAGTTCATCGGAAACGAGGTTGTTCTTTTTCTTCAATTGTGCAGCATCCATGTTGATGCGTTGCCGAGACCACTATTTATGTGGCGCGCCCTCTATTATAGTGGTCTCGATCTCCACCACCAAACTCGATTTGGGCCAACAACTCAAGAAATACACGCAGTGGCGTAGCCACGGGGGACGTGGGGGGCGATAGCCCCCCCCCCCCATGAAATCTTTTCGCCCCCCCCCCCAGTCGCCCCCACCCGCCCCCCTGAGATTTTTGAGTTCCTAAAAAAATTATCATTGATCTACATGACGCCCCCCCCCCCATGAAATGTTCCAACCCCCCAGCGCCCCCCACAAAAAAATGCATGGCTACGTCACTGAATACACGTTATATTAAAATGAATTTTCGTACACTCATTTGTCATGATGTTTGAAATCAAAAGATTTCATTTCATAATAAAAACGTCAAATTATCAAGCTATTATGACCGTAACAATACAGGATTTTAATTGCCACAAATACAATCCTAATGTAAGTCAACAAGGATTTTTAACGTTTAAAACACTAGATTGTTACGATCATATTGTATTTATAGCTCCACGGTTTCTCATGCCATTCACGGTTTCTCATGCCATTCAAACTACTTATGCTACACATCGTGAAAACTAATTGCACGAAATTTCAATTTAATCCATGTTGTATTTCTTGAGTAGTTCATCGGAAACGAGGTTGTTATTTTTCTTCAATTGTGCAGCATCCGTGTTGATGCGTTGCCGAGACCACTATTTATGTGGCGCGCCCTCTATTATAGTGGTCTCGATCTCCACCACCAAACCCGATTTCGGGCCAACAACTCAAGAAATACACGTTACATTAAAATGAAGTTTCGTACACTCATTTGTCATGATGTTTGGCATCAAAAGATTTCATTTCAGAAAAAAACGTCAATTAATCAAGCTATTATGACCGTAACAATACAGGATTTTATTTGCAACAAATACAATCCTAATGGAAGTCAACATGGATGTTTAACGTTTAAAACACTAGATTGTTACGAACATATTATATTTATAGCTCCACGGTTTCTCACGCCATTCAAACTACTTATGCCACACATCGTGAAAACTAATTGCACGAAATTTCAATTTAATCCATTTTGTATTTCTTGAGTAGTTCATTGGAAACGAGGTTGTTCTTTTTCTTCAATTGTGCAGCATACGCGTTGATGCGTTGCCGAGACCACTATTTATGTGGCGCGCCCTCTATATTATAGTGGTCTCGATCTCCACCACCTAACCCGATTTCGGGCCAACAACTCAAGAAATACACGTTACATTAAAATGAATTTTCGTACACTCATTTGTCATGATGTTTGGCATCAAAAGATTTCATTTCAGGAAAAAAAGGCCATTAATCAAGCTATTATGACCGTAACAATACAGGATTTTATTTGCAACAAATACAATCCTTATGGAAGTCAACATGGATTTTTAACGTTTAAAACACTAGATTGTTACGATCATATTATATTTATAGCTCCACGGTTTCTCACGCCATTCAAACTACTCATGCTACACATCGTGAAAACTAATTGCACGAAATTTCAATTTAATCCATTTTGTATTTCATGAGTAGTTCATCGGAAACGAAGTTGTTCTTTTTCTTCAATTTTGCAGCATCCGTGTTGATGCGTTGCCGAGACCACTATTTATGTGGCGCGCCCTCTATATTATAGTGGTCTCGATCTCCACCACCAAACTCGATTTGGGGCCTTGACAACTCAAGAAATACACGCAGTGGCGTAGCCACGGGGGCGTGGGGGCGATAGCCCCCCCCCCCCTCATAAAATCTTGTCGCCCCCCAGTCGCCCCCCCCCGTTAGATTTTGATTTTCTAAAATAATTATCATTGATCTACATGACGCCCTCCCCCATGAAATGTTCCAGCCCCCAGCGTCCCCCCCCCCCCAACTGAAAAATTCCTGGCTACGCTACTGAATACACGTTATATTAAAATGAATTTTCGTAAACTCATTTGCCACGATGTTTGACATCAAAAGATTTCATTTCATTATAAAAACGTCAAATTATCAAGCTATTATGACCGTAACAATACAGGAATTTAATTGCAACAAATACAATCCTAATGCAAGTCAACATGGATTTTTAACGTTTAAAACACTAGATTGTTACGATCATATTGTATTGCTCCACGGTTTCTCACGCCATTCAAACTACTCATGCTACACATCGTGAAAACTAATTGCACGAAATTTCAATTTAATCCATTTTGTATTTCCTGAGTAGTTCATCGGAAACGAGGTTGTTATTTTTCTTCAATTGTGCAGCATCCGTGTTGATGCGTTGCCGAGACCACTATTTATGTGGCGCGCCCTCTATTATAGTGGTCTCGATCTCCACCACCAAACCCGATTTCGGGCCAACAACTAAAAAAATACACGTTACATTAAAATGAATTTTCGTACACTCATTTGTCATGATGTTTGGCATCAAAAGATTTCATTTCATAAAAAAACGTCAAATAATCAAGCTATTATGAAAGTAACAATACAGGATTTTATTTGCAACAAATACAATCCTAATGTAAGTCAACCAGGATTTTTAACGTTTAAAACACTAGATTGTTACGATCATATTGTATTTATAGCTCCACGGTTTCTCATGCCATTCAAACTACTTATGCTACACATCGTGAAAACTAATTGCACGAAATATGAATTTAATCCATGTTGTATTTCTTGAGTAGTTCATCGGAAACGAGGTTGTTCTTTTTCTTCAATTGTGCAGCATCCATGTTGATGCGTTGCCGAGACCACTATTTATGTGGCGCGCCCTCTATTATAGTGGTCTCGATCTCCACCACCAAACTCGATTTGGGGCCAACAACTCAAGAAATACACGCAGTGGCGTAGCCACGGGGGACGTGGGGGGCGATAGCCCCCCCCCCATGAAATCTTTTCGCCCCCCCCCCAGTCGCCCCCACCCGCCCCCCTGAGATTTTTGAGTTCCTAAAAAAATTATCGCCCCCCCCCCATGAAATGTTCCAACCCCCCAGCGCCCCCCACAAAAAAAATCATGGCTACGTCACTGAATACACGTTATATTAAAATGAATTTTCGTACACTCATTTGTCATGATGTTTGACATCAAAAGATTTCATTTCATAATAAAAACGTCAAATTATCAAGCTATTATGACCGTAACAATACAGGATTTTAATTGCCACAAATACAATCCTTATGTAAGTCAACAAGGATTTTTAACGTTTAAAACACTAGATTGTTACGATCATATTGTATTTATAGCTCCACGGTTTCTCATGCCATTCACGGTTTCTCATGCCATTCAAACTACTTATGCTACACATCGTGAAAACTAATTGCACGAAATTTCAATTTAATCCATGTTGTATTTCTTGAGTAGTTCATCGGAAACGAGGTTGTTATTTTTCTTCAATTGTGCAGCATCCGTGTTGATGCGTTGCCGAGACCACTATTTATGTGGCGCGCCCTCTATTATAGTGGTCTCGATCTCCACCACCAAACCCGATTTCGGGCCAACAACTCAAGAAATACACGTTACATTAAAATGAAGTTTCGTACACTCATTTGTCATGATGTTTGGCATCAAAAGATTTCATTTCAGAAAAAAAACGTCAATTAATCAAGCTATTATGACCGTAACAATACAGGATTTTATTTGCAACAAATACAATCCTAATGGAAGTCAACAT